TATATATATATATGCAGCTTTATTACCGCTGCCGAGCTGGTCTAAATTTTATGGCTGCCAGCTATACTACCTATTCCTTCGTGGCCAGACAACTCAGCAATGAAGCATCGTTATGTTCAGACGATGGCACAGAACATTCTATCTGGCTCTAAATAGACGACTGGCGGTCGTAAACAGGTAATTACAAGCATTAAGGGTTATATTTCAAAAGGGATGCATGCAGTATCGCTCACACGTAGCGATTAGATATCAAGACAGGTGACACAGAACAACAAGAACTCCAATACAAATTTCGAGCATATTAACTGAACAAGCTTAAATGGTTACTGTACGAAAGTTCAAAATAGTCACTACGCATTTATTTGCAAAGGATTGTTCGTATCAGGCGGTGTAACGCGTGTACTAAAAATAAATTCAGCGTTGAAACTCAATGCAGAAAATAGCCATGATAACGTGAGAAAACGCACGCGAAGAAAATGTTCCCGGCCAATACTTGAACTGTAGAAAAGAGTGACCGGAAATAAATTATGATTAATGATAAGAACATAACATCATTAATAATAAAAAACAAATTAGCATTATAACTGGACCTGGATGTGTATATTGAGATTTTTCAGTGCTCGAGTTTTTTTTTTTTACTTAACTAGCTGTATGGTTTAAAGGTTAATGACACATTCACCTGGGTCCCTGAGCATTGCGCCAAGGCTACCCTACTGCAGCTGATACTTGTGTTGCCCACTGCCAGAGTGTTTTGCGTCCGTGGCGGTCCTTTTCACACAGATCGTATCGGCAGTTGATACAAATTTATAGATCTAAATACACGCGTAAACACGAGGGCCGACATATTCCTGAGTTTTCCTAGCGCGCTTTCACTCGGATGCATTCCATAAGTTGACGATGCCCAATAGTATGTTGGAAAGACGCGTCGCTAGTGATCATAGATATTTGTGAAAGTTGTGTGTGTATATATATATGTATAGACACAAGCGAGCTATCCATCATCTATAGCTATCATGACCTCCATTCGATCGGTGTGACGGTGCTCATGTGCTGGACGCAAACGACGGGAAAATCCCCCCCCCCCCACCACACATAAACACAACACACGCTAGGTATTGGCAGGTATGACCAGCGTATGACATGCGTATGACACGCGTATGACAGCGTATGACACGCGTATGACACGCGTGTGACAGCGTATGACACACGCATGACAGCGTAGGACATGCGTATGGCAGGGTATGACATGCGCCAGGTATGGGCAGGTATGACCAGCGTGTGACAGCGTATGACAGCGTATGACACGCGTATGACCGCGTATGACAGCGTATGACATGTGTATGACAGCGTATGACATGAGCCAGGTATGAGCACATATATCATAATGGGATTCATATAGTACGGTTAGACCGACGCAAGATCCTGAAAATTGTTTCGTCTGTGTATACTGTTCGTGCAATAGAATCAGTAGTGTCATAATATAGACACTCTTGCTTATATCATGACACTCCTGATAGAATGATGTAACAAATAACATGCGCAATATTCTGCACATTATTGAAAACGTTATTTTAGAAACTATTCGCCATGCGTTTAACTCTGTCCGATTCTAGGTAATAATGCATAGGCCAATGGCAATGATATACGAAATTTGATTGCTAGCAACTTAGCTGTGAAGACTATGTCATAAGCAAACAGATTTTCTTGGTTACAATAACCTTTTCTTCATGAGTCGCTGTTTACAACCTGCCGCAGAATCATGTCATCGGTTATAGCTACAACGGTAGAATCATAGACACATAGGTATATTGGCATAGAGGGGAACCTCTATGCCAATATACCTATGTGTCTATGATTTTGTAATCATCTGCAGCTTCGTACGGTTGCAATATATAATAGCAATATCAATTCTAATATATTAAACCTACCGCAATCGCAACGCATCGCTAACGGCAATAGCAGCGTTAGTAATAATAGTGGTTGCATAATATTCAGATATGCTTGTATTAGGACAACGTCTGCGAATCATGTATGGTACACACGCGTAAAATTGCGCATTAATCGCGTTTACCATATACGCATATTGCTTGTTTCTTAGTTCTTATATCAGCTATTATGTCAAATATGGCGTGCAGTCAAACGTTTATCAGTGGACACCTCTATAGAACGGATGCGTCTCTATGAATGACACATTCTGCGATTCCTTTGATCGTTGGTTACATAGAGAACCCATCACTATAGAAAGGACACCTGGTTATAAATTACACTGTTTCCAATTTTGCATTGAGTGACCCTTAATTACACGCAGACTTAACTTTGTATATTTAGTTCAGGCTTGTATATCGCTACCTGATCATACGTCATATATTCACGTACCTGATCTCGCAGTATGTCGAGAAAGTAGCATTGCTACGGAGTTAATTCGGCATACCTGAGCTCTGTATATTATGTCTAATAAGCGCGTGCCTCTATTTCACACGAATCGAATTCGTCGATGATAATCAGGTGATCCAAAAATAACATATCCGAGTACTTCAATGGTATTTCAAATGATCATCCATGAGAGCGATATCCACGACATACTCACAACGCGGGTTAATTGTGTAGGATGCAGTCAAACTGTACACGCTAGAAAGCCCCAAATATAGTATGTTCTGTCCGTGACAAAGGACGAGCTGGAGGCCTACAACAAACTAATCTGGGAAACTTGTGCACATAGTGCTGACATAAATAGTCATTATACACTAAACAACTTAGCTCGACAAGTTATGTGGTAATAGGTTTCTTTAAACCATAATAAAAACACTGCACTAGAAACTTGGAAAGGTAATGCGCATCAGCATAGTATAAGATAACTAGAGCACTCGGAGAGCACAGACCTCCGCCAAGGCAGCTCAATTCTCTCACTGTAAAAATTTTAATTAATTAATTAATTAATTAATTGGATCCGGATCACCACCAAAATGTAATCAATTCTAAGTTACCCCATTTCTGACCGATCCTGAAAATTTAATTAATTAATTAATTAATTAATTAATTGGATCCGGATTACCACCAAAATGTAATCAATTCTAAGTTACCCCATTTCTGACCTATCCTGAAAATTTGATTAATTAATTATTTGGATCCTGATCACCACCAAAATCTCATCAATTCTAAGTTAGGCGATTTCTGACGTATCCTAAAAATTTTATGACAATCCGTCCATAACTTTTTCAGTTAGGCTGGACACAAACCCACAAACCCACAAACCAACAAATAGTCAAACACACGCCGGTGAAAACCTAACCTCCTGCCAACCCCTTGGCGGAGGTAAAAATGGCAACCACAGCACAAGACAATGGATTTAGCAGGTGCGTGCAGAATGGAGATCAATAACATTAACAGTCGTGGCAGTCGATATTGCGTGATGCGGGTTCGTAAGGCTTTGATCAAAGATGAAAGATAATTACCTGGACAAGTATATAGGTCTTACCTGCGCGGCATAGTGTAGAGGATAGGCACCATGAATATCGGCGGAAGACGCTTCTGCGCCACAGTCAATCAGAAGGTCTATCATTTTTACTTGACCGCAAACTGAAAAATCGATCGTTACCACGTCTGAGCAGGTGTGAACGTCGTACATGTATATATATACATATATATATATATCAAGAGTGCATAATAGAGATGTAGATATAGATATAGATAGATGTAGATATAGATCTCTATTATGCACTCTTGATATATATATATATATATATATAAAGTTCAGTTTTCCAAATGCAAATTATATTACACAGAAAATATTATGCAATCTCCAGTTGTTGTCATTTCAATATTTCTCTCTCTCTCTCTCTCGTCGTCTTCATATCTGCTCTCTCTCTCTTCTCCTATATAATATATATATATATATATATATACTATATATAATGTGTGTGTGTAGTGTGTGTTGTGTGTGATGTGGTGTGTGTGTGGTGTGTGTGGTGTTTGTCGTGTGTGTTGTGTGTGAGTGTGTGTGAGGAGAGAGAGCGAGGGAGAAGAAGAGAGAGCAGAGAGAGTGAGAGAGAGAGAGAGAGAGAGAGAGAGAGAAAGAGGAGAGAGAGAGAGCGAAGAGAGAGAGAGAAGTAGCAATGCCCAGGAACACCCATGGTAGATTAAAAAACAAACTTCAAAAAAATATGGTAAAAGGTTGTATAGTTTTAATACACGAGTATATAACGCGGCCGTATGTCATACACACATACATACACACACACACACACACACACACACACACACACGCACACCACACATACATTTGGGTAACCCTCGATGTTGACTCCCTATAATATATCTACTGTGAATTCGTTCACACTGGTAGAAAGAAAACAGGAAATAATTCGTAATGACAACAGCGACAGCATGGCGCTATTCGCGTCGCGGTCGATTGCAGGCCGCCTTACCGGCGCACCAATGCATGATAGTATGTCCCTCCCCATCGCTCAGCTGAACATCAGCGCCATACTCCAGCAGGCATCTCAAGACCTGAATCGGAATATAACATCATCAGCAAATAACAGAATAGTCTAGGCTTCATCAATAAATTCCGGGTACTTGCACTCTCCTAGTTATTAGCTGCAGTCATCATTATTATAAACGCATGAGTAAGCACTAGGCTGCGCCGAGTTGAGCTGACATAATTATAGATGTACAGATAGAAGACATTTTGAATTTAATCATGCAAGCGTGCAATTTGGCATGCAGATATGAGAACGAAGTTTTTTTTAGACACAACACAAGCGTTGACCCTGCCTATGCCGGCGATAATATGTCGTGCTTGACATGTTGGGGAGCAAAAAGTTGAGTAGGCCTAAAGCTTTCTCTCCGGTTCTGTTATATTTTAGTTGTAGTTATGTTGCACATTGCATGCCTACGATATACGACAATTTTTTTACATATTTTCCCCCGGTGTAGTTGTATCAGGATGCATACAGTACACCATATATGGATCAGACGGTTAAATGTATTTTCATGAACAACATATATGCTTCCGCCTGCGAGCCTTCTTTAAAAGCGATAGAAGCGAATGAAATATCTATTGTGTACCACATGCGATCAATACACAGTCGATGAACAAGGCACGGCACGACAAGATTGATCTGAAAGTGTTCTATTTAGTGTTATCAATATCTTGACGGATTTCTGTACACGCGCGATCGCCCAAAAAAATATTACGATTTAAGACCTATTATGGTGTTTTAATGAAATCAGTAATTGGCTGACCGACCGACTATAATAGATCGAGCGACTGACCAACCGACCGAGCTACCAATTGGCCAAACCATTTCTCGGCCAACAGACGCATCAGCCTACTAATCCAAGCATTATTCAAACCCTAACTGAGACAGCATTAATCAAGACAGCTGTAATGCAGGATGCTACACCACGACAGCAGCCCATTAACCCCGGATCCATCTTCTCCTCATCATAACCATTCCCCCAAGATGATGTACCGTGACGAGACGTACTCACTGTGAATCTCTAACGAGCGGAGCGCGAGTAAAAACTGCAGCGACGGGTAAATACCTTTAGAGAGCCGCATATGGCGGCGAGATGCAGTGCGGAGTGACCTTCCTCGTCCTGTACGTCGATCAATGACGGATCTGTGTCCAAAAGCAGCATCGCGCAGCGCGAATTTCTGTTCTCGCTGCAGTAGTGCAGTGCCGTCTTACCCGATTTGTCTCTCTCTGCTGCTGGATACTACAGACAACACAGATGAACGATGATGTAGTAGTGCATGCCACGCCTAATGACCTTCTTGATTGTCGCTTTGTCTCTTTATCTTTCCTCCCTTCTGCTGGATCATATATGCAACGCAAATTAGTGATTAGCGTGGCTCATGCTGCGCAGAATGACTTTCACCTCTTTCTCTGATGGACGCTATATACAACACACGTCAAAGATTAGTGAGGCATGTGCTACATAGTATGACTTTCCCGAATGCCACCTTCTCACTGCTGCTGGATGCTAATAAAATACAAAAAAATCAACTAATAGAATAGCTCATGTTACGTGCCGCGAGTGTGTTACATGTGTACCGGAGATGATATTGCATGAGGTTGCACGACACTATTCAATAGTTCGTACGTTATCACTTTGATGATCGATGTTCCTTAGTCGTTTGAATTATCCTCACCCGCCATGTATAACAAATATACATAATATCAGGGGTGAATAATGACAAATTGTTATTATTAATTCACCCCTGATAATATATATAGGCTATATATATATAGAGAGAGAGCGGTTTACGAGGTGTAATGCAAGTACAGTACTTGCATAACAATGATAATATAATAGATACGGTCGAAATGCTGTCAGGCTGACAGATCAACGAAATGTCCGGCAGACAGACCACAGTAGGGTAGTTACATGATAAGTTTGTTACTGCCGAGTCTATCTTTGTACAGTATGTCGACCAAAACCAAGCAGGGGAAACGGGCCCCAGCATTAACAGAGGCAGATCCAGCAAGAAAACTCGGAGGACAACGGCAGTTGCCATGCCACCGCCGATGTCTGATATCCCAACCACATCGGACGACCAGGCTGGGCCACTGTCCGCGGAACAGCAGGCAGCCTTGCTCGCGGAGAAGATTTCGGCAGCCGATGCGCTCATGGGAAAAATGGAGGCTGCCCTGCAGACGTTCGATCAGATCGCATCTGTCGCCCAGTCCGCGATCAGACTGGTACACACAACAGGGCAGATCAAATGACAACACAGATGCTCATCAGGCCACCAATCCCTCTCCATCCGTGACGTCCGGTAGAGTGGCTGAAAATTGCTCAGGTTTTCTATGGACAAGTCGGACAATTTTGTCTCGGACTTTAGTCCCATGTAAAGTTAAACAACGGATTTGGGCGGAAGAGTTCGTTGACTTTGCCATTTTGACGAAGCCAGAACACGAGGTCGCATACTCCGTTAGTCTGGTAGGTAGCCAGAGTGACAAGCAAGCGCTACAATTAGTACCGGCCAAAAGACAGTCACTTAAGACAATAGAACAGTGGTTCGAGGCGTACGAGATATACATGGCGGTTTACCTGTCGTCGCCCAAATTCATGAAACTGGCACCCGAGCTCATTCAATACGGGCGAATGATCAGAGACTTGGCCCGCAAGGGCGGGAACTGGTCGTTTTACGACTCGAATTTCAGGCGACTGCGCTGTACCAACAATTGGGCTTGGGGCCAGGTCAACTGGGAACTGTGGATGACGGCTCTACATTCTCGAGGCCCCAAACTCCATAACGCTGGTTTAAAACTATCTGGGGCTTCACCTGGTGATTCACCAGGTGATTCACCTAGACCTGGCACCATGCCAGGACTTAAACTCTCTCGCCTCGCTGTCTGAATATTTACGTCATCGGGGACAAGCTTTCGTTCCGTTGTTCCTCATGCCCGATGGGAGGCCACTTTCCCGCTCCCAGTTCGACAAGAACCTCAAGGCGGTACTGGGTTTTTTGTGGATTGTCCACTTTATCATTTAAAGGGCACAGTTTCCGGATTGGCGCCGCTACAGCAGCTGCCACCCGAGGGGAATCCGATGCCCAAATCAGGGCAGCGGACAGGTGTTCCTCGGATTAATTCCGGAGGTACATCCGCATTACACACTAAGGTTCTCAGTAACGATCTGGTTCCTAGGTTGTGGGGGTCCGGTCACATGTGTGCCCTAGTGGCGGGTTTGCCCCCACGTATTATTGTAAACCTCGCGTGGTTACCATGGTAACCGTCTGAAGTATCAAGTATTCAGGCCTCTCGTTCCCATGGTAACCATATTCACATTTGTGTTTTTCGCTACCATGGCAACCGCAGATTTTCAATCAACTGCACGGTTGCCATGGTAACCACGTTCTCGCATTATGCTGTATGTTTATATGTTCAACAATTTGAAAGTTTTTATAATATATGTCGAGCAATAAGCTTGGCCATTGTCGACCACATCCCATGTGTTTGTCTTTTTCCTGGCAGCATAATTATTCCTATGAGCAGTGTTGCAATAAGCGGCTCATTGGGGTTTGTGCTGCCGGGAAAGATTCACACAGCTGGTGGTGGCTCCTGCGTTGCTAACGTTCTACGCTGGCGCCATCTGTGGTTGCTTAAGACTCTATCATTTACCGATTGACCAATCAGCGTGTGCGGTGGACAGCTTCGTTTTGTCCCCTGAACCTTCCTTTGTTTGCTGATCGCTTGGTAGTTGCTCACTTCTTGGTCGTCGTCAAAAAATTGCTTTTCACCCGCCAACCCCTCCATCGCCGCGGGTTTGCCCCTACGTATTATTGTAAACCTTGCGTCGTTACCATGGTAACCGTCTGAAGTATCAAGTATTCAGGCTTCTCGTTCCCATGGTAACTATATTCACATTTGTTTTTTTCGTTACCATGGCAACCGCAGATTTTCAATCAACTGCACGGTTGCCATGGTAACCACGTTCTCGCATTATGCTGTATGTTTATATGTTCAACAATTTGAAAGTTTTTATAATATATGTCGAGCAATTAGCTTGGCCATTGTCGACCATATCCCATGTGGTTGTGTTTTTCCTGGCAGCATAAATAAATATATATATATATATATATATATGCGCAAGTCCCACAACGATCGCCTTTACGATGCGTAATATAGCACGATGTGATGACGCACATTGCTTCAGCAGGGGCTGCCCCTAGCCATACGTGCAGAACCCACGTACAGCCGCGGTGAGCTATGTAAGTATACGTACAGCCGTGTACTTCTCCCGCGGAAATTCTTCTATAAGCGATGCGGAGAGATACGCCAGCCTGTTATGCTAGCATCTATGACAAATACGACAAACGCATATATACGCTCTCCTATGACACTATTTGTCATAGGACGATTCTTCCTATTGTATAATTGATCTTCCTATTGTCCTTAATATTGTTGTATGTGTTGTGCGCATCATAGATGTTTAAGAGCGCTATTATGAACGCAAGCAGTGAATTTCAGCTGTAAATTAAAGTGGAACAAAGTTGACTCGCCAATATTTGTCATAGGAAGAATCTTCCTATGACAAATAGTGCCATAGGAGAACGTATATCCGTATGTCGTATTTGCCATAGATGCTAACAGAACAGGCTGTTCCTACGCGACAAAACAAATTCTGTGTCTTCCCAAGCATCCGATATCGCTGTTCGATTCCATCGATTAGCCTTTTCTCCGATGCTGCACGATTCTAACAATAACCGCACCGGGGCTCTATAGCGAGAGAATTAAGAGTCGTGCCGTATACGTGCCGCGTATGAATGCGTCCCCGCGTGTCAACACGGGTGACACAGACCCGGAGGCCGCACCTGGGTCCACGGCGGATAATAGGTCAGCTATACACACCTATATATAAACCGCCCTGCATGGCGTGTGCGGAGACAACATCGTGTTTACGGCCCCTGTCACTGTTTACGTTCACGACGATGCATTGCTTGAATTATTGAAGTCGTTGCTTCATCGCTATAGAATATTCTCGTGCTGTCTTTTCTATCGTCCTTTGTCTATGAAGCAAATAATGCGTGCGTCTATACAGAGAGAGAGAGAGAGGGAGAAAGAGCAAGAGAGACATACACACACACACAACGAGATAAAGAGAGAGAGAGAGAGAGAGAGAGAGAGAGAGAGAGAG